ATATATATAAATTAAAAAGTTAAATTCTTATTTTTCTTCAGGATCAAGTTTTTGGTTTTGTTGCAAAATAAAGAAATATAAGTGAAAAATATCATCAAAACTATTGTTATACTGTGCATAAGCATTAAGTCGGGATCAGATGCCCACTGTCACTCCAGAGCTCCCACTACTCCCTCACCTGAGGGCAAAATATCTTGCATCAGTTTCCAATCAACTGGACCAAATTGGGGATTTTAATCTGTCACCTTAAAGTCTCCAATTTTGCATCCAATAAAGTACATTTCCCTATTTATTTACACCAAATCCCATGGATGATATACTCTCCCATGAAATCAAATGTGATTCTCCCTATGCTGTAGAAATCATATCCCTTTTCAAAACATGTCTCTTAACAAGTTTTAACATTTCTATTGGTCAGATTGAAAAGTAAATGAAGATCGGACTTCAAATCATCACAAATTATTTTCATTTAAATATGTAAAAAACAAATCTATTCTTCACATAATAATATCTTCAATATAGGGAGAAAGATAAAAAAACTACTCAGAATTCATGAGAATATTACGACAAAAAATGGATTTAATATATAAAAATAAGTTTACAAAATAAAAGAAATAAAAGGCAACTTATCTTACAATCCTTCCCAAACAAATCCCTAGAAGTTCTCTCCAAGTCTTTCTCTCTTTACAATCTCACTCAATTCTCTCTTAGAAGTGTAATGAAGAAGAAATATCTCACCTTCCCTCTTCTCTTACAACCCTAGAAGAAAATCTCCTCTTCTCTCCTCTTGCCTCTCACGCCAACTTTCTCTCTCTCCCTTTCCTTACGCCAACTCTATGAATTCTCTATGAAGTCTTCTCTTTATTTTGGGTTGCCTTCTTTGAAAAAGAATTCAAAATTCCCCTCCAAAAGGCAACTCTTTTGAATTCAAAAGATGTGTCATTTGATCCAAGAGACATATCCCTTCATAAAAGAACCTTCCAAAGTGTATAAATGCATTAAATTACTCTAATAGGTGTGTAGAGTAAGTGTCCCTTTAAAAATTTGCACAAAATTCATCTCGAACCGCCTTAATTTCCAAAATTCTTTGTTTTGGTTCCAAATTTCGTACTTTTTGCAATTTTTGCTACAAATGCCTAAAATTGATTTACCTGCATTAAAAATATGAAAATACCCTTTTTTTAAAGTGCAATATCACCAAAATTAAGCATAAAATATGTGCTTAAAATAGTATATTATTTCAGTGTATCAATATACTATTTGTGATAGCTCCCATCTCAATAGAGTGATTGTGGTATGCTAAGTTACTTTTACATTTTTCATCTGCATTACCTAATTTGCATTGATGGAAAGTCAGCTTTGTTAGATAAGTGACCCATTGTTGGTTGTGTATCCTTAATGAGCATTGCTCGGTATGATATCTCACTAAGCAATGCAAACTATCGCATCTTGATCAACACACATATGTTTGTGCTAAAGTTTTAAGAGGTCTAATATGTGTCACTTAGGCTTTTCTTTCCTTAACTTATTTTGACATGATCCACACTGACTGCACATTTTAAGATGTTGAATCCAAATTTATCTGATAGTCACACTCAAAAAATATAACATAAAAAAGGAGAGAGAGGGGGGCAGAGAGATAGAAAGAGAGTGCACAACAATAAAAAATAAAATGAGAGAACTTTGTATTTTGATCAGCCCTTACTGAAAAAATGAGCCCCTAATGTTAGAAGATAAGGTATAATGTATATAATTACATGCTTTCCCTTGCTTTAATGGAGACATTATTGGTATTTACATAAATGAGGTGGCTATCCTATTGCTCAATCAATTGAGATTAGCGGGTCTCGAGTCAATAAGGTTCATTCGGCCAACTATGTTGCTTGGGGGCTACCAATCAGTTCCTATTGAGTTTCAGTCATCTTAAGTTGGCTCGGTTAGCTTGAGTCAACTTGTCAGCTCCTTTAATCTGACTGCAGACTATTGTCCTCTATATAAAGAGCTCTTGTCGCTAGGATGAGTTTGAGTTGTTGGGTGGAGGGTAAATCACTGTAAACCGACATGTAGCACACCCCTTGAAAAAAGGTCCTCCTGAATGTTTGTGGAGCATATCATCGTAAAAACTTCAGCCTCCTGAGGAAGAGTCTCAGAGATTCTCACAAGGCAACTTATTATGGGTGGGATGAGAATTGAGCTTAGGTCTTCTCTTGGCTTGATGGATCTTGGTCATTGACTCAATCAATCCCCATTTGGTTGACATCAATTCCCGATTTTGAAGTATTAGTACCTGGTCAATAGTTCTTTTAATCTTCTAGTGATGAGACATTTGATTTTCCTTTTGTGGGTCATCCATAGCCTTACTTTCATGTCTCGTCCGTTGGATTTTCTTAAGATTCATGTTGACGCATTTGTGATGTACAATAACAATGTCTAACAAGTCTTTTTAAGGTCTTTGACACCTTTATTCACCTTCTTCATCGAAGCTAGGAAGTACCTTAGGCTAAAGGCTCGGCCTCTACTCTCTCCCCATTCACAATCTCTTCTCTCAACCAAGCCATATGTCATCATCCAAGTAGTGACTAATTATTATGATTCACAGATTGGTATATATAACACTAGCTCAATAGACCATTCTTCATCAATGGATTGTTTTATTCTATCAATGACTAGTTAATTCTCAAGACGGGTTGAAATCATTCCGTTAAATCAATTTAAAGCATATATTTCTTAGGAAATATGTTTTCTAATTCTTCAAGGTGCCCATCTTAACTAATGGAACAATCTTCAAGCTCACCTAGATAAAAAGATTCACTGGACATCGTAACATTCTTTTGTATTATTTCATTATGCATTACTATAACACAAATGACTTAACGCAAGCAAGTCGCAAAACATTGATCGAATTCATCAGAATGTTAATCATTTGCCAACAAGAGAGAATTGCATGACAAGTTAATTGAGGTATTATGAGCCGTGTCGACTAGTTTTCGTGCTTCAACAAATGCTGCTATATAGCTAAACTTTTGGATCAGAATCAATTGTCCCTCTAGAAGTCAAGCTAACCTCTAGCTATTTGGACGTATTATTGTGGAACCAAGCTGCACTTACGAATGATGTATAATTATAAAGCTCAGTCACAAATGGTCAGTTGCTCGCTTATTTACAGTTTTAATACTGACAAACATCATTCCTCTAACTTTTATGAGAAAACATGTATATTTTTCCTTTTTTTGGTTCATTTTTCTTGCACATATGTATTTTACAGTTTTAATAATAATAATTTTGCTAAGAGAAACAGTCCTTTAAGACAAAATTAAAAAATGGCTCGATTTACTCTCTTTGGATGCAAAAAAAAAAAAAAAAAAAAAACCCGCGGGGAACATATTATGGAAAAAACATATATGAGAAAAGTGGAATATCACTCTAACTCGCCGAAGGAATTGATCAAAAAATTAAAAAAAAATAATAATAATAATAACAAACATCATTCCTCTATAATATGAACTCAGTTTGCAACTATGTTTGTGTATTCTCCCCAACATTTTAGCTATGGAATCCCAAACTGGGTTTGCTAAAACTACAAATAATTTTTACCATCAATCCTTGATTAAAACCGTAAAACTATAGAACACAGATTGTTTTCTGAGCTTCTCGAACCGTACTAAGCGCTGCATGTTTTGGTGATCTGAAAGGCGTTGAGTTATTCATCCTGTATCAAGTTAAACAAACTACACTCAGTTCAGCAGTATGAACAAATGCCATTTCTAATATTACGAACAAGTATAATTGAATACTATCAAATAAAGTGACGTGAATAAGACCAAGCTGAAAGTAAAACGCGTCAGATTGATTAACCAATCTAATAGGTTGTCAAAATTCTCTCTATAGATAACTTCTCCCCAGACCTATAGTAGAAAGCTTCATGCATTAAGTACTTCTATTATTTGCTTGATAAGGCTCTGTTTGAGAAAGCACACCGCCGCCGAAGAAAGACGTCTTGGAATGTCTCCGGACGCTGAAGTGTAAGAACGTGAAAATTTTGCCGTTTCACAATGCTCCTGAGGAGTCCCGTTTCGCAACGGGACTTTTGAAGCAGTTTCGCCAAACTGAACCTAAATCTCATAGCTATCATAAGTGTCCATGACCAAAAATGAAATTTAACATATGCATTTATGCGAAGCACTTTATGATAATAACTGTAGGAATATCTTTTACATGCTGAAACATGATCATTTAAAAGGATTTGAACATCTTTAAGAAAAGTATTAAGGGCACTTTTAGAAAAGAACTATATAAAACCCAAATTGGTTACCCAAACTTCGTTGATTTTTTTTTGTGAACCAAAAAAAGAAAACAATACAGATTCGCGAAAATCGCAAGTGCAGTAACGAAGCAGATGTCATCGACATCCGTATCCAAATTTGTTTTTCTTAAAAACAAGCTGGAACTCCATATTTCACTCTATAAATAATTTTTTAATTAAATTTTCATAAAAAAAAAAACTTAATTTTTTTGCACATAAAATAAGTTGCCTGCAAGCCCAACCAAACCAGCCCAAGGTGCACCAATTGTGATACAATGAATCATTTTTCCATATCTCAAGTAATCCTACATTACTCAAATAAATCCACGTTTAGGCTTCATGTTGTTCAGCGTTTTGCCTCAGCTAAATTTATTGCTTCTGTTTGCTTCCATGAAGTGGTTTAATTCCTGTATTGAACATATGATCATTTCAATGCATACCTCCACAGATTCAAAATGATAGTAAGCACGCAAATTAAGTAGTCATATATGTTCATGATCCTTTACAAATTCTAAATTTAAAGGAAGCACAAGTGCATAAAAAGATTTGATTTCCCTTCTATTATTCATTAAGGAGGCTAAAAAGGTGTCCTATGAAATCAATAATAATTTATGAAAATAGTTCCTAAAAATTTGCTTGGAAGATCTACATAGAAACCACTCAATTCCTATGTATTTACATATCTTAACAACTAAACCTCAATTTTTACATACATGTCACCATACCTATGCATAAAAAGTGCATTTGGTGGTATTTTTGAAGTGATATGAAAGATTTGGGTGGCATAAATGTAGTAAGAAAAATTTAGGTGATGGTTATGTAAATACATAGGAATTGGGTGGAATGCATGCAAATGGTCCTTTTTTTCCCCAAAAGCAATTCAGCTTTTTGAACACAAAAAAGGTTGCCTGTAAGCCCAACCAAACGCATACAATGTTCAATTTTTTTAGGCCAAATTTTGAATAGGATTACTTTAATAAATAATATTAGCAATTGGAGCACCTAAATTTTCTTTTTAAAAAAGCAGCAGATGTGCCCCATGGAAATGCGCCCACACCTTTTTTTTATTTTATTATTTATACTGTAATTATTAATATATAGTATATTAAATAACATTATAAATATTATTATTATTTATTATATACATTTAAAAATATTAAAATTAATTTTTGGATTAATTAATAAATTGAGTAATTTTTAATTAGATAAAAAAATAAAATTTAATTGACTAAATAAACTAAGAAATTTTGAAACTTGTAAATTTTATTTCAAATTAAAATATTTACAAAATAAAACAAATTAAATTAAATGAATAAATTGAACAAATCAAATGACCTGACAATTTTTTTTAAAAAAAAAAAACTATCTTCTCCTACAACAAGGTGGAATAGTGCTTGAGTCTGGTGTATATCAAGACTGGTCACAGTAATCGATGACGCAACTGATGTTCTTCAAGTTCTTGTTCAATATCATCGCTATAAGTTGTGTCATGCGTAACATCTCGTGGCATCTAGTAAATTTGTTCATTAAGATTTGACAAAGAATATAATTGTGAGTTACCGAAATCCATGTTTTTATCAGAAATAAGCGCAGACATAGGAATGTTTTTAAACTTTAAATTGAAGCCTCCACCAGTAGTTGTTGTCCACTGAAGGTCGAATGATAAAATCTCAAATGCTGATGGTATAAATATACAGAGACCTCTTCATAACTAGATGGTCCTACATAACTGGAGTGTCTCGCAAATACTGATTGGGTAAGATAAGCAGATGTTTCTCATATTGTTAATCTTCTGCTTCTTGAAACGTAGATTTTTTTGCTCTGCTAACAGAAGATCCTCTTGGAGCATCTGTTGTTGATCGCTTCGCAACAGAAGAAGATGACCGACGTGGAGCTATGAGGACCCTTTGGTCTCACGTTGTACGTCCCTGCTTCAAAATTATATCGATCAGGCCGATCAAATACCGCATAATCAATTGTGCACTGATTCTTCCACTCTGTGTGATAGCTCCAGAATCTCGTCGTAACCTTGTTTCATAGAACTAGCACTTGCTCCACAATCCCCTTCATATCTTTTGGTGATGTTCTAGATATGAATAAGGGAATCCAATAGTAGAATTCATAATTTTAGATTATTACTAGTTATTATAATAAAAAAATATTAGTAGTTATAAAGGAATGCAAAAACACAAAACTTATCACTATTTTCTCTCCTGGTGATCGTGCGTAATAGGTTTCAAGTGGCTGAGTTGGAGGCTGAGTTAAGTGGAGTGAAGCTCAAAATCAATACCATTGCAAATAAATATATAACTCTTCCTCTCTGTCTCTTTTGTTGTGGTTATTGGCACAATAAATGCTCGACAATTATTGCATAAGCTCGATATATTTACTATGATATTGCTCCTACTTAAATCCTGATTTACCTCCTCCATCGACTTTCTGAAAACCTTCTTCGATAGGTTCAATGTTTATTGACTGGGTATCTGAGAACTGATGCATAACATCATTTGAAAGGTGACACTCGATACATTCCAATTTATTATTGGAACATGTGCAGTCCAAATGTCCATGCTCTCAAAACAAATGCCATGTAATAATGCAATATTTACATTTATATACAATGTCCGGATAATTTGCGGATGAGTTTATAGATTAAATTTAGTTAACATATATAGTTAATCAAGATTAATTAAAAATGTTTAGTATACCTGATTCTGTCTGAGTATATCAAGCTCATCCCTATACATCATGGTATATAGGACCGTAACGTCTCAAACCCACTCTTCATTGCCCCACATTGTATTTATAATAATGAGTCTAATATAATTAGTAAATTGTTGTGTTTAGTTTTAAAGTGAGAAAATAATTTTGTACCTGAACCTGAGGGATCTGCCCATTATATCCTGAGGAACTGGAACATGAACAGTTGGTCGACCAACATGTAAATGCTCTCATGCTCATGTTTGAAGCAAATGCAAACATCCGTCGATCATAGAGTTATAATCATTTCACCTGATAGATTTATACAATGTATGAATAAGAAAATTTAAAAAATTTTAAACTTGTATATAAATGCAAAATTTAATTTGTCTTACCGACGGGTAAATAAAATGTATAGGTCATCGCACACCACCGCTCGACCAATACAGTTATAAAATTGTGATCTAGTTTGATGTAGGTCAGTGCCTAATGCATTCTAATCCCACAATTTTGATTGCATACAGGAATCATAAGCACTCGATCTGCCCTTCTCTTAACACTACGACATGACAGGCACATTCCAGAATCTTTTACCATAAAACTTAAATTAAATTAGTTAGAATGTTAGATAAATATTTCATGTGAAATTAATTAACACAATTATTTATATTCTTACAATATCTAAAGTAACTGCTGCTGCACGATGTGCTTCACCTAAGGATGCAATATTGGGAGGTAGGAATGTTCATTGTGAAGTGGATCATCAAGCATGGTGGGGGTTTCCTGCCAAACCGCTTCCTCGGCTATCTCTACTAAAGTGATCATAGCATTAGTAAACGGAAAAACAATTGCTTCAATGAAAAATAATTATGTAGAAGCAATGAAGAGTTAAAATTTATTCTAATTACAGTATTTTATTCGAACATACTAGTGCTTGAATTATATGGACATGTTGTTTGACTATGCTCCGTGTTTTTACAATAATTACATATTCTTGTGCTTGTGTTTATTGTCCAGTCCATTGTGTTCCTTATCCTACTTGTCCTTGGAAGACCACATCTTCTTCTAAATAGGGGGGTAAGTAAAGTGATAATAACTTCATGCGGTTGTATGGTGGCCACGGTTCCTTCTCAGGTATCATATGAAATAATGCTTCATATGTGTATTGACAGAAAATCCAACATGAAGTATTTTGAAACAAAAGTCGTGTGATCTGAACATCTGGCCCCCAATGCTGCAATCGCATGTACACATGGTCAGTGATAGATTTTTTGTTTATTACATGTGTATGAACAATTTTTCTGAAAAAATAATATCAACATGAAATGCCCTACAAACCATATCAAATACCTAATATTCAAGATTATTTATGCAGGTTGGCTAGAGGAATTGAAGGGCCTCGCACTCATATCTTTGTAGAGTGGATCTTGTGCGCAGGACAAAGTGAGAACTCCCATCTTTAGTCAAGTGCGACATATTGCTGGATCATTTAAAGAATAAAACAACCAAATTATAATATAAAGCACATATAAGACCCTGAATTGGGAGACCCCGTGTACGTCAGAAACCCGTTGAAAAACTTAGATGCGCTTGTTGTCATTGTGCCAGATCGAGCTCCACCATCACATGTTAAAGTCCATTTCATAATAGCTTTCTCAATCAACCAACCGCAGGCCGCTCTCTTAATTTATTTAAAATCGTTCATGTAGTTCATCGGTATTACCCGCCTAATTCATTTTGTAACAGTCGACATCCCCAATTGCAAGATGTCTTAATGTCTTCTTAAAATTTTCTTGTTGATGACGTATGCATGTCGATGTGCAACCCATGGGAAAATCTCTCTGCAGTCACGAACCAAACACGGTGCCTATCTGATATATTACATAGATCTCGATGGGTCTGGATGACTTCCAACAAAGCATGTTGTAGAAACCATACCCACTACTCAGTATTCTCGGACTCAACTACAGCAAATGAAGTGGAAAAAGTCCACCATTTTTGTCAATTCTTACTGCGCCCAATAGATTCTCTCTATATTTTCATAAAAGGAATGTCTTGTCCATACTAAGCATGGGTCGGCAACATCTCCACCCGTATAAATTGCGGCCAAATGCCCAAACGATACTATCGAAATGAATATTATTTTTAACTTCAATTTTATACACAATGCTTGGTATTGCATGGCGTATTGCTTACATTAGTCAAAATAAGGAGCAATAAAACTCCTCAAAACTACTAAGTATTGATTTTATTACTTTTCTATGTGCATTCATGCTTTGACGAAATTAACGTGGACATTAAATTTCGCCTCCATCCGAGCAACAATTTTTTTGGGCTTTAGGTCAAGTTTTTGCTTTAAAACTGAACCAACGTAGTGACATATAAACTTCGAAGTGCAGTTTTGGTGTCCAGTTGGCATTATTGGATGACTAAATGTATGGTCCGACCCAAGTACTGATACTTTCCACGCACCTACTAATCGCTGACTTTTCGCAGCATGTTGACGCCACTGACACGAACGGGTTTCATGATTGAAATTTACATATTGAATTGTAAGTCATTTTTTATTTGAAGTTGTTTTGACATCCTCTATATTATTAATTATCGACCATCCATTTATGGCACATTGCAGAACATCTTTATTTAAAATATCGTTCTCTCATATAATACATCCGGAATAACATCATCTCCATGTAAAGGCACATGAATTATGGGAGCATCACATTCTTCAACTGCATCCCATTTTATAGTAGTTCGAATTGGCGCGATAAATCGATTGTTTTCTACCAGTTACTCTAACATCTCTCTATTTAGCACTGCGTATTGGCGCAAAAAAATCGTGCCCTGGTGAAACGGTATTCGGCTCACCATCTCACACATTATAGTTTTTGTTTGCCTCTAGCTCGCTCGAATTGTCACTGGTGCCACTATCCATCATTTTGTATTCGTTGTTAGCATCCTAGCGCATATTCTGTTACTCTCACCGTGTGACTAACTCAACATGTCTGCTAACGCAAGGGTGGGATGAATGTGATAAATCAAATGATCGACGTGCACTATAATTGTCCACTGGTTGGTCAGGTATATCATATAACCCGGTGTCCTATGTGTTGAAAGGAACTGGAGTTGGTCTACAAAGTTGAAGTCATAAATTTTGGGAAGTTTACAGTAGATTCCTCTAATTGTTATATCAATTCAGTATATAGAATTTTTTTTACCTATAAATTTCAGGGACATATTCAGAAGGGTGTTAAGGACCACAACATTCGAAGGACCAACAACACTTGAAGAAGAATCGACATCAAAAGCGTCAACATGCAAGAACTCAGCCTCAAAAAATATAATTATTATGTATTTTGTGTCTTCTAACAAAATAAACTTAAAACATTTGTTATCATTGGCAAATGTTGTAATGAAACCCCCGCTAACCAGCAAACGACAAACTATATTAACGGTATGCGTTGAAGTATCCTTACATAGTCTACGAATTATTTTTCTATTTAATTCATCTAGTGTTATGAATTGTGAGACTTGAACGAGATGATTACGTTCAACACTATAGGTGGGAGTTAATTCTTCTGCGAGCCGCAACTCGCCATCAAAATATATCAACAAGTGTGACAAGTTCATACTCATACTTAAAAATTAGTTCTGATGCTGCAGTTGATTTTATCTAAATGTAAGAGCTAAAATTTACATAAGCATAATTAAAACTTATAACAAAATAAATTAAAAGACATCATAAAATGCTAATTATTCGGGTATATACAATGGAAAATAATGCATTCATAGCTATAAAAACTTCTAGGTGAGGAGATGAGTACAAAGACTACTAACTTTCCATACACTTCTTAAATAGTTTAGGCATTTTTGACAAATTTCCTTGTAGCTTCAAAAGCATTACATTATACATATAACTCTAACCTAAACACTTTTTTGTGCATGTTTTTCACATAATAAAAAGTAATTATTTCCAACCTATTTCATGTTTCAATTATGTTTGAATGCAATGCAAAGTACTAATTGTTCTTCTATTGACATTATAAAATGCTAACTGTCCTAGCATGTAATAAATAATTCATAAAAAAATCATGGGCAAGAATAAAAAATTTCAACGTAATCAAAACAATTTAAAGAGTTTAGAGAATTACTAAATTTAAAATGTTAAAAATTTTGTAAGATCTATATAGGTCATTGTTACACCAAACAGTCGAGATATTATTTCAACCTCATTCGGACTACTAGTCCTACGCCGTCGAGATTCCTGACTGTATATAGTTTCATACAATATTAACATTTTAATTGACATTTACTTAAGTCTAATTAAAATTAATTCAATTATAACAACAAGTAATAAGAACTGCAAAATATAAAGTGTTACTTGTTATGATATATGCAATGAAAAAAATGCATTTATAGTTATGAGAACTTCCAAGTGAGGAGGGGGATACAAAGACCGCTTACGTCTGTATCTCTTCTTAGACAATTTAGATCTCTTTTGACAAAGTTCTTTATAACTTCAAAAGCACTATATTTCATATACATATAACATTAGCCTAAGAACAATTCTATTATGCTCTTGTAATAATAAGTTTTGCACGATAAAAATAAAAATAAAAAAACAACAATAAACTTTAAATTAATTTCATATAATACTAAATCGTTCGTACATTGCTAACAATGATATGCAAGACAATATCCTGATGATCAGAGCAACAATTTAACATAACAAAAATAATTTATAATAGTTTCAAGCAGCATTTCGACGCGTCGTTAATAATTTAAATATATTACAAACAACATTTCGATATAGTAGAAATAATTAAAGAAATAAAAAAATGTAGGGGCATAATAATGTGGGATAAAAATTTTTTGAAAAAAAAAATTAGCGGCATTTCACTACATCGTATATAATTTAAAACAATAACTTGCATTATAACATATAACTGAAAATTAATGAAGAAAATTAAAAATATTAAAAAAAAAATAGGCAGTATTTCACTATTTCCTAAAATATTGAAAAAAAAAGGCAGCATAACAATATATTAAATATGAAAAAAATATATAAATAATAAAACTAAACTAATATAATAAATACTTAAATAAAATTAAGAGAATATTATTACTGAAAAGAGGAGGAGAAAAAAGTATAGGAACAGAGAAGAGAGCAAGAGAAAGTGAACAAGAGAAGAAGAGGTGCAAATTTAGGGGGGCGGGGACGGTTGATGAGCTTCTTTTTACAATTTGGCCTCTTTTTTATAACTTCTGTGACTCAATTATTAACAATGAGTGCAATGTCCAAAGCAATTAAGAAATAAAAAAAATGTGATTTTACTCGGGCAATGAATCATTACTTTTGCTAAAGAACAAAAGCTTGGATACAATTCAGGAAGAAATATTAATTAAAAAAAAAAGGTTCTAATATCGACAAAAAGGCTCACCTCTGTCTCAGTCATCACCGTCCCACAATCACTGCTGCATCATTGCCGCTTTGCCCCACATTCTCTTCCTGGAATCTCCTCAGCTCCGGATGACCATACCGAGATACAGCAACTGCGTAGCATACTATCACATATGCAAAAACCAGAAATACGAGGGAGAAGAACTGCATATTGGCTAAGAACTGCCCTCGAATCTGACTGTCTCGTGTGACGCACTTGATATCGTTGTCATCTAGCCTGCATCCCCTCGGCATCATGGGTCCATAAAGAGTGAAAGCGGTTTGGTAGAACCAGAGGCCCTGCAGAGTGATGCAGACGCCGCTTGAGAAGTCGACGGCGAGATTTTCGGTAAGGAAAGCACCGGCGATGCTGGAGGTGATGCAGAGGCCGATGAGGATGACGAGGATGAGGTGGTAATAGCCTTCGAGACCTGTGTGGGCGGTTGAGTGGAAGTAGAAGAGGAGGTACTCGGCGGTGAAGGCGGCGGAGGCTAGATGGCAAAGAGCTCCCTCCGGCAACGGAAGCCATCTGAATAAGTTCAAAGTTTCCTTTTTTAACACTACAGGTAAAAACAGAAAGGCGAAAGACACACTACAAATTTTCTACAGGACAAGAGCAGGGCACTATTCAGTAGCATTAATACTTGATCAGTAGCTGAAATTTTTTTCTTAAAATAACATACAATATGCAAGCATTCATCAAGGACTTTTACAGCACAAAATTAATATTAAAAGAAATGATGACGATGAGTCTTCAATTATTAAACTTAATTTATGTAAGAAATTAGTTAAAATTTATATTATACTCATATCAAAATCAGAATATTAATTTGTTTATCATAAAAGATTTCATAACTGATACGTATGGACAGCACTTTAAATTTTAATTTTCAGCGATGTAAGGAAAGACAAGAAAACTTTTTGGTTTTTGTTTGATTTGTAGGAACACAATTAAAGGAAATCAAATTAATTAAATTGAAATAAATTTCATCCGCAAATCTATGAAAAGAATGAGTTTTTATTTCTAATGAAAATGACAATCACACAGAATTTTAGATACGGTTTCTCTGTTTCATCTCTTTTAATCTCAAAAAAAAAAAAAAAAAAAAAAAGTTCTAAAGAGTAATATGTATGATTCAAACTCGCAATATCATGATATTACTGTGAGAAATTATATTCGCAATCACTATATCACGAATAAGTGCACATTAAGGGTTTTTTTTGTTTTGTAAATTTGAGTTAAATTGATAATTGTTTATGAGAAACTATATGTATTCATGTTTTTTAGAGAAATGTAAGTATCTATGAATTACAACTAAAATCAAACAAAGAACGCCCGATATAATGTCATTTGCAGCCACTCCAATATCTTTAAATCAAGCATATCCTTCTTAAAAGATTAATGCTTACCAGAAATTTGTTGACTGAAGCCAAATTTGTATATAATATACAATATGTCCATCCCTTTATTAAATGAAAGACAGTTAACATATTCTTTTGATGTCTTGAGTGTCCAATAAGTTGGAGCATTTTTTTTTTCAAGGTTTGAGCCTTAAATATCAACAAGGTTAAAAATTAATCGTTATAAATGTGTTTCAAATTTAGGTCTCCTAGAAAATATTCTGTCAACTTCTCTACAAACCCTGCAATCGAGAAATTTAATTTAGGTAGACGACAACATCCAAGTAACCCATATCAAGTCTATATATTGCACGGCCAAAGCAAATCATTATTAAGAATATGTAAAAAGAATAGGAATAAATATGAAGGGCTAAACTTTACTTTTTACATTTATATCACTCAAACTTTATAAATCACACAAAAAAAATATCATTTTTTTAACTTTTATAAGTGGGATATATCATTTCATGTATAAGATAGTATTGAAATTTAGGTTTTAGATATGTAAAAAAGAATTGAGTGTTATTCTTCCTAAAAATAAAGCAGATGCAAAAACCTTTCTTTGAGACTTCAAAATCAAATGATAAGGAGCTATTAATTTTTCATCAATCCACCTCATTAAAAGAGCTCAAGTGTTCTGAGGTTAAATTAACTTGAGGTGTATGTCATTTATCAAAAGGTAGAGTAATTTGTTCTGTTTTGCCCCCCTTTTGAAACGTTTAGCTTCCGAAAGTTCCGGTAGGCTTCTCAGAGCAGCCTTTAGAGCAATGGAGAAAAACTAGCACTTTTCTCTATCACCGTTTTCTCTTCCAGTCATCTTCTCAACCGAAATTTGCCCGAAAACAAAAATCAAACCTTCGAGAGTTTAAACAAAACAAGAATGAAGAAGCTGACCTGGTTTTCTCAGAGAGAAGCGCCACCGCACCGTAGAGGAAAAACATCAGGAGCATGCCGCCGTGCTCGAAATCGTTCATATGTGCAGGGTTTAGGATCCTCTCCTCGCCGACGAAGAAGTGGAGGTGAGTGGAGTACAGGAGCTCGATGCACATGTCGATGAAAGCGCCAATCGTTATTATGTAGAGCTCGAGGTGTCGCCATCGCCCTTCGCCCATAGCACCCCAAACCCGCACGCGGAAGGCCGACGGGTCCGATGCGTACCTCACGGCCGCGCTCCAGACGTGCCATGCTCCCACCATGATAAACAGACTCCCTGGCAACACGTGCCCTTTGAACGACCCCATCTCTTGCGAATCAGATCAATCCAATCGAATCAGCTTTTCTCTTTGCTTTCTTTTCTATTGACTTCAATCTCGATCGCCAGTAAGAAGAGAGAAACAAATGAAATGATCGATTGATGGATGTGAGCTGAAAGACATCAGCAGAAGGTTCTAAGGATGGAAAAGAACAGGTAAAAGAGTTTAAATTTAGTCTTGCGTAATGATAGGGGGCTGGATCACTCGGTTTAATTGACAGCAAAATTTTTGCAGGGCGATAAGTGAAGCTAATAAGCTAAACTGGGAAAGATGAAATACAGGGGATGATCGGCGCTTTTTCAGGCTTTGGATGCAGGACGTTGACGTTTGGCCCTAATAACGAGGACCTCAATTCCACTGAAGGATGAGGATTGCGAAAGGGGAAAAAAAAAAAAAAAAGGTAAAAAAGACAAAGAAGCAAGAGAATTGCCCTCTCTCTCCCTCTCTTAAAGTTCGAGAGGCAGAAGAAATACAGGAGAAAAGAGAGGATGAGGATGCTGACGTACCTAATAATCAGAAGCGAAATGATAGCCAAATGAGATAAAATACAGGAGAAAAGCAGAGAGCGAGGTGAAAAAGGCGAGAGAGTCCGGCTCTTCGCAATTCTACGATCCCAAGGAGAAGGTAGAGAAAATAGGAAGAGAAGAAACTGAATAAAAGGTAAAACGATATTTTTCTCTTTTATTGAGAAAAAGAAGAATCAGTTTTTATATGAATAAAAAAAAACCTAATCTTTCTCATCTCCGCGTTAGGGTTTCTGAAAATACTTATTCAACGAAGCCGGCGGGTGACTTGGGGAAGCCGGCGATGACACACGGCTCGTGGATCACGTGGTCCTCGGGAGGTTGTGCAGCCATGGCACATTGCGGAGTGGATGGACCCTGCAGATTGATTTGTTCTGGCCATCGATGGTCGAACCATCCAACGGTTTGTTTTCTTTAATAATTATTCGGGCTAAGGGTCTGTTCGTTAATTTAAAGCGCCGGCATTGGTAGGGCTGTCAAAACGGCTCGTTATTCACGAACAATTCGTATACGGCTCGTTAAGAAATTTGTGTTCGACTCGTTAAGAAGTTAACTAGCCGAACACGAATAAATATTTATCGTTCGTGTTCGGCTCGTTTTGGCTCGAAATACTACTAATCAATTTTATATAGATATATATCTCTAACCTAAACACTTT